CACACACACACACACACACGACAGACAGACAGACAGACAGACAGACAGACAGACAGACAGACAGACAGACAGACACACACACACACACACACGGACAGACACACTTCCAAAATACACCTACCAACACAAGGACTGAGGTTATTATGCCCTAAGACATTTGGATTATTCATTTCAAAAGATATGTGGGTATTTTACATGCTGATTGAATTTATCCTAAATGTGTCCATCATTATATAAGTGAATTAAGGAGCTGGGTACATATATTGGTGCCTTGACAATTTGACTTTAAGTAAGAAAGGCCTGTTCCGAACATGATTGTTTAAATGTATTTAAAAATATCAAAAAGCTCAGTACATCCATGTTTGGAAAAATGTCTCATACAAATAAAGTAAAAATGTATCACTATGTTCAAAGACAGCATCATGGGATATACATTTATATTTGACAGATTGCATGACATGTATAACAAAAAATTAAGGGGTTTTTGCATTGTGGAGGCCCTTGCACTCATGTCCCCAATATTTATAAAACGTTGGGTGTTGCCATGGTAACTAACAGCCACTCACTGACACGAGACCTGCCAGAAATAAGGAGGTTGTACCTCTGATGTGTGATTCTGAGGTCATGCACGGTAACAGGTGCCAACATCTGCATGAGCTCCGTGGCCCCGCCTCCATGGGCGCAGCTTCCACCTCCCACCTCGTCCCTCCCCCCGGCCGGCTCACTGCAGTCGAGGCGCTCACTCTGCAGAGTGGATGTGAGTGGATCCCTGCCTGTGCAAAGGAAAAGACAGAAAAACCTCAGTCACTCTCCACTGGATATCCTCGCCTCTGGACGCACTTTTACGCGCGGCTCCAAGATATAAACAAGCTGCACCATCCAAGTTAACATCATCAGGATCGCTTTACTCTGATGTATGTTGCAACATCGAGGAGCCATTTGTCTTTCTGTTCTTTATGCTTCTGGATTTCCATCTGCAAAGTCTCCAGAAAGTGATGAGTCGTGCCAAACCGGGGAGTATGATCTCTGCGTAAACTTATTTTTCGTTTATCCGAACCAAACCCTCCGTTAGAAATGCAGATCCTGCTGTACACCGCTGTGCTCCTGTACCTCCAGGAGCGTGCCAGCGCAGAGCCAAAAGCCAAGTGTCCCACGCGCTGCGATGTGAGTACCTGTCCGAGTCCTAGCTGCCCCAGCGGCTACGTGCCCGACCGCTGCAACTGCTGCCTGGTGTGCGCGCAGGCCGAGCTGGAGCCGTGCGGCCGCAAGGAGGACCTGCCCTGCGGGGACGGGCTGGAGTGCAAACAGCCCAACAGCAAGCGGCTCTCCAAGGGCTTCTGCCGGTGCAAGTTCAGGAACGACGTATGTGGCAGCGACGGGAAGTTGTACGGCAACGTGTGCCAGCTGAAGGCCACCAGCAGGAAGGCTCTGCAGCAGGGACATCCGGGCATCACCCAGATCCATAAGGGACCGTGTGAGAACAGCACAGGTATGATTCATGCGTTAAGGCTTTATTTGGTAAACTGAAGCACTTAACAGGTTTGATTGATTATTAATAGCGCCTGAAGAAGAGCCCTTTTTAAAACTACTTATCATTTTAAGTGATGTTGGAAGTTCAAGTAAGTAGGCCTACACAGAGTTTGAACTGGCGGAATACAGATGGGTAAACACAGTCAAATTTGGACATAATTCGTCCTCAAGAAAGCACTGACAAGTTTCTAAGAAGAAATGTAATGGATCTGTATAGAACATCTGTATAGATCCTTACAGAATGTGTTAAGTTACGTATGCGTAAAAAACATTTTAATATCTGGTCTTACTATCAAGCTAACACATGCAGGTCTGAAAAATGTAAGCAAATTCACAAGTGCATTACATGTTACATGTTTTATCCAAAGCGACTTACATACTCAATACTGTGGGCAATCCCCAGAGGAGCACTTTGGGGTGAAGTGTCTCAGGGACACAGCGACATGCTGACTGCAGTGGGGTTTGAACCTGTGCTCCCCTGATCCGAACACCAACACATAGTCCACTGCCCCACACGCCTCACGCATTAAACTTGCATTCTCTCTAATAGGCAACCAGCAAGTCCACTGGTTGAAAAAATAAGTAGGATTGTATATACATCTATAAGAAACAGTTCTCTCTTGATAAGAGATTACCTTAGGAAATATTTTCCTAATGAGGTTGTTCTTAATTGCCCATTTAAATTCTTCTCCAATAATTGAAACTTTTTCAATTTAAAAAGTACTATTTCACATTCAATTGTACTTAGCTCCAGCCTATTGTGCCACTTCTTGTTCCAAAAGCACCAAAATAGTGACGGACCAAAGAACAACATGGCTACAGCCAAAAATAACAAACTCGAGAAAAATGGAATTCACTAAACAGTGGGTGACGTCCACCAGTCTGCTGCTTCAGTATATCAAGTTGACTCATCAGGAGAGTTTGGCCCTACCTAAAGAGAGCAGTGCCCTTTTGATATTCTCAACTCCTCCACATTAATAAGGGCCGGATTAACGGTCACCCAAGTAATGGGTCACAGCTCCAATGAACACTGGTTAAGGGTGAGGTGCAGGTTTTAAAGCCTGTTAAAGCACATCATGAGCAGTTGTTTGGAACAGAGCAGACAGTGAGAATCAACCACACCTACGGTAAAAGTTGTTATTCTTTCCTTCAGACTGGCCTAGATAATTCCTCGACCCAAACCCAGAGTCAGTGGCGAGCCACCAGGGCCCTCTTGGCCCTCTCTGAGGGCCTAAGATATTCTAAAAAATAATATTTGAAAACATTTAAAAAAAAAAGTAAGTACATTGTCAGAATAAGTGAGAAATGAATTTAACTTGTTAGACAGCTATCATACTGAATAAATATTTACTGTGAATGTATGCAAACATTTATGGCATATGGCTGTCTAACAGAAGTTAAATCCATTTCTCACTTATTCTGACAATGTACTTAACCCCAAATAAAAGAACCCAATAAAAATAGTTTTAAAACAATAATGAAGTCACGTTGTAATAACAATAACTCATCCCTCTCGAGTTTTCTTTTTGTTATTTGCCAAAAGCCACTGCGTCAAGTGTCCTACTTGGGTTGCCGTCCGGAGTTGTCCAATATGGCGGACCATCTCGCACATGCGCACTGCAGATCGGGTAGTGACAATTGCAATGCTGTAAAAGACCCAAAAGTCTGACGACACTTGGCCCCCCTGCTTCCGGCACCCATGCTGACGAGGATACGTTTATTTCTGCATTCACATGCAGATATGCGTTTATAGAGATTAATGCAAGCTCTGTGCATAACTTTATTTCTAGCTGACTTTCGGTTTGTACTGTGTCGGCAAATCCAGTGTCCAGCTTGTCGCTGTGTGACAACCATTGAACAACGTCATGTTTGTTGCAAACCTGCAAGAACTGTCGCCCTACTTTCACCTGCACCCAGCAGCAAGCGGGAGAACAATATATCATACAGTCGACCCCTAAAACAGTTCAATAAGTAATGGAACAGTTAAGCATTATTTTGTCCAACTAGTCTACATTATGAATGTGATGTTTGTCTAAACTGCTAAGAAGCTGACAGCTGAGTTAGAACAGAAAGACATGCAGGCCATAATCACTAGACGCTCAAAAGAGGAATGTGTGTGTAAGGCTTACATGAACTGAATTGAAACACTGTCCATTAGCTGATTAATAAAGAAGACATTCAAGTCAAAGTTTTAGGCATTTTAATTTGTAGCACGCTGTAAATATGGACTATGAAGGAACACATGCAATGTGGAAACACACAAATAGGTTTATTCTCAATACTCATAACAGTATCAGAAACAATGACTTTACTGAGAGTGAAGATGACATGAACATAGTTTTAACATTTTAATAACCAAATATGTGAACATAACCAATAACAAATACATGTAACTTATTTTATTTTTGTTATTCATTCATTTCTTATTTTTTTTTATCTCTCAAGTTTTAAAGGATACTTTAGGTTTACTGTCCTATAGTATACATTGAAATGATTTCAAACCTGTTTATCCAAATAATTATAAAGGAGTGCCTTGGAAACATTTGTTTACATAAATTACATTTATCTCTCTTGCTCGCTCCCACGCCCACTTTGGCTGTGAGCTGCGGACGCCTGATAAGCCAACACCCCCCACTTTCATCACTTACAGCGCCCATCGTACAGGGCAAATGAAAAGTGTAACCGGGGTGAAAAGGGTGTTACATTTACTTAATTATGAATGTTGTTACATCAAGGCCGAAAATTAGGATGAGCGGCAACGGTCAAAAATGTTTTTTTCCCCCCCAGAGCTGCCAGCGCAGCCCCCCCCCAGATCTGGCGCCCTAGTCGACCACCTATGTCGCCTATGCCAAGAACCGGCCCTGTACACCATGCTAAATGTGTGTCTGCATAAAGCTGAGTTATGATCGGTCACACAGAATTTAGTGATGATTAAATAGTTTACAGTGAGATGTACTCCCATACTCACGCAGCCCTACAAATGAATTCAGATTTCCACACAAATGTTCTTTAGCAAGTGTGCAGAGTGTTGATTTAAAAAAGCAATTTCAAGGTTGGATATTTGTAAACCTTTTATTGTGTATATATATTAATAATTTAAGATGTAAATGAATTCCGGTTTATTTGTAGTACTTTCTATTTTTATTGTGACATTTGGTGGCATCAATGTACTTGATACAGATAATGGAGCAGTTGCTTTAGGGCCACGGTGTATATCCCTTAAGGTCAAATAATGAGATCCTCGTCCTCTGCCCCCTCTCGCACCTCCACACAGAGCCCCCCCACATATCAAATCACGACTTAACCCTTGGTTTTAACCCACATTAATCGTCAGTGTGTGTGCATGCAGGAGATGTGTATGAGTATTTCCTGTTGCAGTGCACTGTGTGATGTAGTTCTGTTCTCCACCAGGTGGGGGAGCTCTGCCCTGCAGGAGGCCATCAGAAACCATAGAGACGCTGCAGTCCATCTGCGGCAGGACCCCAGCTGGGACCAAAACCTCCATACAGTCTGAGACCAAAACCTCTATCTGAGACCAAAACCTCTATCTGTGACCAAAACCTCTATCTGTGACCAAAACCTCTATCTGTGACCAAAACCTCTATCTGAGACCAAAACCTCTATCTGTGACCAAAACCTCTATACAGTCTGAGACCAAAACCTCTATCTGTGACCAAAACCTCTATACAGTCTGAGACCAAAACCTCTATCTGAGACCAAAACCTCCATACAGTCTGAGACCAAAACCTCTATCTGAGACCAAAACCTCTATACAGTCTGAGACCAAAACCTCTATACAGTCTGAGACCAAAACCTCTATAGAGTCTGAGACCAAAACCTCTATACATTCTGTGACCAAAACCTCTATCTGAGACCAAAACCTCCATACAGTCTGAGACCAAAACCTCTATCTGAGACCAAAACCTCTATACATTCTGTGACCAAAACCTCTATCTGTGACCAAAACCTCTATCTGAGACCAAAACCTCCATACAGTCTGAGACCAAAACCTCTATCTGAGACCAAAACCTCTATCTGAGACCAAAACCTCCATACAGTCTGAGACCAAAACCTCTATCTGAGACCAAAACCTCTATCTGTGACCAAAACCTCTATCTGTGACCAAAACCTCTATCTGAGACCAAAACCTCTATCTGTGACCAAAACCTCTATACAGTCTGAGACCAAAACCTCTGTTTATTCAAACAACTTAATATTATTTTCTATAAATGCATTATTGTATCCTAAAATAAAAACACAAATTATTTAATATTTAAATGTGCAGGAAAAAATAAAACTATCAAACGATTTAACAAATGATACTAAATAAATAGAAATATGAATCCATTAAATGAAATGAGCAGCAGCTGGAAAATGCAAAAATAAATAAATAGTATTTAATAAATAAAAAGCTTTATTTCTATTTCAGTTCATAAGTTTCATACAGAATATATTGAAGCATTAAGCAGCTGGTAAAGAGGATGGAGCGTTATATACATTTATATATATATATATATATATATATATATATACATTTATATATATATATAT